TAATATATTGTTCATGAGTATAACAAATATAACCATTTATAATCAGCATATACATGATTTCTTTTCGTCACAATAGCGAAATTATAATTAATTAGGAACGAAACAGCTTAGTATGCTGAGCTACTACGGTAACCGAATCTATAATACTATATAATTTCACAAAAACTGTTGCGTGTCACATTTTTTAACGCGATGGACCCTAATTTCTGTTCTATAATTCCTGTTTTAGGTTGTTCCATAATTATTTTACTAATCCTCAGAAACTAATGAAGTTTTGATACAGTATACTTGGAAACAGTTTAAGAAAAGGAAAAAAAAATGTGTTTCGAAGCTCACATGAATCTTCAAAAATAACGTAAGAAATGGCAAAAAATGTTCAAAATTATCCCAACGGCACTTCTAGTGTTAAGATATCGTCTGCACTAATTATATAGCTCATTTGAAGTCACGCCCTCGAACCATTGAATCCTAGAACGTGAAAATCCGATGATTAGATCAAAAGTTATTCAGTGTGCCCCGTTTTATTTGTTTGCGCATACTGTGCTTCTTCAATTTTACCTTTCCCCCCCATCAAACTTTGTTTATAATGCCTCTGAATCAGTTTAGATAAAGTCTTTTACGTTGAGCACAGTAAAGTCTTTTCTTCATTTGCCTTTAAGGGGACAGTGGACGTTGGAATATGATGAAAATGGCAAAAATATCGATTTTGAGATTTTTAGAGAAATTCCATATTTGCTTCATTATCTTTCAAATAAAAAAAAATTATTGATTTACGATAATTTTTTACGAAGTTATTGGCAATTTTCGAAACCGAAACCAATATTTGAGCTTGAAGGTTGAACGCTTTTAAAGCGAAACTAACTTTTCATCCAACCATCTGTTGGAATTGTCTGTTATATCCGCCATTACTGAATTTAATGCTGGCTGCTTGAGCTCACTAGTACTTGAGAATAAAACACTAAATGAAATATCAGTGAACATAGCTGAAACACGTGACAAAAGAAGAATTTCGGATAGCAAAAGACGGGCTTCTGCGGTTTGGAAGGAAACGCGGAATAGCAAAAAGTTTCACAAAATCAGAAAAAATCAACAGAATGAAAGATTAGAGGGTCCAAGTTATACTGCCGGATCATTTTAAATTAGTGAACTTTCCCTGCAAAAATATTTCAGTGTTTTTTCTTTGGTCTAACTATAATTTATTGATTTCAATTATTTACCGTTTTATTTTATGATAATTGTCTAAACTTAAATATTTAGATAGATAATGTAATTTTTTTTACAATCTTAGAAAATACATATTTTTATTCTCACATAGTAAACGTATAGTTGCTTTATCATCTTTGTCGTCTTTATAAAAAGAATAAAATCTCAAAATTTTTTGTCACGCTGCAATCATTGTTTGGTGAATTATAGATATTTTTTATTTTTTATACCTTTATTATTTTTCTATACTATACTAAACTAACAAACTACATATTTTTATGGTTAATAATGTTTTATTTTAATTTTTATTACTTATGTCTTCTTGTTAAAGTCAATGAAACCACAGAATTCCCTAACTATTATCTGACAATTGTTAGTCGTTGTATCGTGATAAATAGGCATAATTTTCTCTATTTTAAATATTATACTAATTTTCTAGTTCTTAAATGCTTAGAAACATTAGTGTTTGTCTATTATTATGTTTAATAGAAATCTGTTGTATTGTTTTTTTATTTATTTCTCATAAATAGTTTTCTTTTGGTTTTTTCTCAAAATGAAGTTTTTACGTAGTACACGACATTAAAAATGTACCTCGCGCCTGAGTTTTTCTCAAAACTTGATGAAATTTGATACACTTGTTAAAAATATGTTAACGAACATTTTCAAGCATGGATTATTATATCTAAACACTATAAGTTTCAGAACAAGCTCATAAAGCCGTCGTACTGGAAAAATGTTTAAAAAAAATTATGAAAAACACATAAAAAATTCTAAAAAAAATGTTTTCCCCTTTATCTTATATTCCATGCTTGATATTGTTACATTGATAGTGTTTGTCATTTTAGAACTTAAATTTTGAATCTAAGTTCAAAATTCAGGCGCGAGTAGTATTTTCAAGAATTTTAAAAAAATACATTATTATTATAAAAATTCCAATTTTTAGGCCCCAATTTAATTTTTATTGCACTTAAATGCAGTAATTAAGATGATTTTTGTCTAAAATTATTAACATTTTCCATGTATGTTAAAAATTTCAAATTTAAAAAAATTATGATTTCA